CCCCCCCCCCCCCTCCCCTACCCACCAAAATCTCTCACGATGAATGTATATGTATATATGTATATTATATTACATATCGATACGCATTACATGCTAGTCATTGTCAGAGAGTTTTTTATTTAGCGTTCAAGAGTTCGAAGAGTTCAAACATGCTCACTTCAGGATTCCCATTCGAACAACACGGGAAACGTTTTTTTCGTCGAAATGATTGTTTCGATTGATCGTCGTGGGATCGACCCGATAACAAATTGCAACAGCTCAACGTAACAATTTACTTTACACACCATACGCAACGTCCGACTCGTTTTTCCACCCCCTCCCCCAACCCCTGTACTCTTTTCGATATAACGCGACTCATAACCTTTTTGCCCCCACCCCCCTTACCGTCCGAGTCTCGAGAAGTTCTCAACGAAGGAATACAATAGACTCTTCGTTTCCGCGGAACACCCTGAAGCGATGCAACAATATCTATAAAGGTAATCCACTATACACTACTTGTCAAGTAATAAAAATAGAGATTGCATAGATTGAGATTCGTAGCGGATGCATCTAGAGAGACACGATCCTATAAAGATTTCCTCTTGAGCTTTCATAGCGTGAAACGTTATTCTTCCTTAGTTTGTATTTGTATAATATCTGTATAATATGTATAAGTGTTCGCGCGCGTCCAACATCTTGTTCCGCCATCTTGAGAGCGGGCAGGCGACCGGTCGGTCCACGATTTCCACCCTCCTCTGAATTCGAACGGATGGAAAAACATGGTGATATCTATGGACGAACGTAAAGAAAAAAATATCTCTCTCCCGCACGCTTTTCGATATGTCTCTGGAGAGTTTGCAAGTTGCATACCGTCCTCCATCCGATCGGCCACGAGATACATTTATCAGGGTAATACACCGTGTCCCGTCTGGACGCCAGCAGGCCCCTAAATCAGCCCTGTCCTTGGGCGCCAGTTCGACCAAATTCGACTAACCTTTAATGTACCCTTTAATTAATTTTAAATTCTGTGGCCAACGGTGAAACTTTGAACTGTAAATCCTTCTTAACTTATCCTCTCGTCATATACCATTTCATATCATAACTCTCGTATTCATCAAATAATAATAAAAAATTAATAACTTCATTCATGTTAAAACTATATTTTCGATATATTAATGTATCACTTGATATTACAGTACAGAGTATATCACACATCGATGAGATTAGGTTAAGACGGACCATAGTTCAAAGTTTATGCTATACTCTCGATCGTATTAATCGTTGATTAAACGTTAATCGAAGGTTGGTCGATGTGTCCCCTTATTAATCTACAAACGATCTTTCGTTATGATTCCTACAAGAGTTCGCCCAGAAAGAGAGAGACAGACAGAACTTTCTCACCCCTCCCCCTCGGGCTTAAGCCGTAATAAACGGCCATCCGTGGAATTCGTTCACGGTTTTGTGCTATCTTTTTCCGCGCGGCGCGTGTTCGATTCACCGCGCGCCGCTTTATTGCAACAACGATATGCGGCGAGACTAATTTACACGAAAAGAAAAACAAATGCTATCCTCCCCCCCCCTCCCCCACGTCGATTGAGTATTTATTAAATGCATGCGTACCGTGCCGCGGCGTACGGCGTACAGTTTATGTCTGCCCTTTTCTCATCGAATCGAGACCACTGGAGCTATATTTTTCCAAGGCAAAAGACCGTTGAACGTTTATTGGAATTCAAGAATTTTTCCGCGGAGTTTAAGCTCTCCTCATGCCGTTAATCGACCGTGTAACACTCAGCCCTCGATGTTAAACCGAAGAGAAGGTTAGATCGGGCGATCTGTACCCGTTCGCCGCGGAAACGATCCATCTTCCTCCGCCGTCCGTACATCAATGAAACACGAACGGTGCACGATCCGGCGGCAGTCGCGATCCGCCAGAAGCAAAAAAAAAAAAAATAATTCTGACGAATCGCCCCTGATCCAACGGGGGCCATTTTTGCGCGTCGAACCGACGAGCCACCAATCCCATATCGTGGGGCGGACATGTCCGTCGTTACATCATCTCCAGTAGAAACGGAATCGTCCACGGTGTCCGGGGCTGCGTGATTTTTTTTTGTGCGATCAGCGCTGGCAATTAGAGGATTCTCTCTCTTTGACCCACGGCGGGGGCCCGTTCGTTCACGTCGAATTAACTCGATGTACTCTGAAACATTCTTCAAAGACCGACACACCGCAATTATTAGAAATGCTGCGTATTGTCTGGTGTACGGGAGATCGGAGTTAAAAGTAACAGGGGTTATACATTTTTAAATAAAATATACAACGCAATGATAACAGATAATCAATGAATTCTGATAATTATCGGAACTTGCAAATTTAACTATTTACAATTTTCTTATATTAATTTTCACTACTGGGTCAATTTGACACTGAGGGACAAAGTTAAATGAACTAATCCTGAATCTCCAACCTATCCGTATAAATTAACATTAAATCTCTAGCTGAAATAGAGGCTTTTTTATATCATGAAAACCAAAAACTGTTACTTTCTACCCCGGTATCCCCTACACAAGGAAGGAAGTGGAGGGGTTGAGGGTGTATTGAATTGCAAATTCGGGCGGATTTCAGGGGCGTGGATGAAAATGCAAACACGGATTCAATGGAGAACAGGGGGGATGGTGTGAGGCAGTGGTTTCAAGTTGGAAAGTAAGTCGAGGCTGAAGTCACTTCGGGGGTTTGTGTTCTCGAGCAACCTACTTTTCCGTCGTTTTGCGCGGGGTTCGCCCGGGTTTCCGTGTGACGCAATTTACTCTGTTTGCCGAAGTTACCGTCCGGAGGAGATTAACAAATACGCGACACCGCGAGCTACTCAAGAGTTTTCGGAAGCCTTGATGGCCCTTGGGTATAGAATCGTATTCTTTTGGAAAGTTCTATTACATAGAGAAAATTTTGATCGTTTTCCTTGAATTCAATTGGACCGAGGCACGATTCTACGTTTTCCCTGTAGAATACTGTGAGTTTTCTTTCGGTGAGTGTCTTCGGGGATACTTCCGGCACAAATTACCAAAATTCCGCGTACTCCTTTTCCCTCTGGTTTGTTTAAAAATAAGTTCAAAAATTTGTATCGTTTTCGAACTCGATAAATTCGTCAAATAGCTTTGCATAATCGTATCCCAATACAGTTGGTTATGTGATATGTAATTGTTGGTTTTAAGTACCAGGTATTTTCTACAAGCAACAGACAATTCTTAATACTTCGTAAATCCTGAAATCTGATTTTCAAAATTTTTCTTACAGCCTGTAGGAGACTAAGCGGTCGGAAAATCACCTCTTCACTGAAGATCCTCCTCGCACTTGGGAATGTCGAATATCTCGGCGAAGAGGGGCGGTAGTTTGAGCTTCGTCCAGTTCCTCCTGAACCAGTCCAGCAGACTCGCGTGTCTGGCCCCTAGGGCCCTCAGTTCCGGTATCCTCTGCGAGACGCTCGAGACGTTCGAACATCCGCCCCCGGATGTGGTCTCGCCCGGGACCGTGTGATTCCGTAACGCTTGCACCTTTAGTGCCTCCAGGAGACGATCCTGAAGCCTCTGCACCGCTTTGACGTCGTTCAGGCCGGGTCTTTCGCCGAGAAGAACAGCCCCGGAGAAGAGGCCCAACTCGGTGTCCGAGAGTTGGTGGCCGTTCAGGGCAGACGTGAATTGCATCAAGGCGGACACAAAGTCTGGCTGTTTTGTTTCAAAATGATCAATTAATAAATCTATAGCCAGGGAAGTTGAAAGGATGGAACGTCGGTGGAACGTAGAGGATGATCTCGATTTAACGCTAGAACTACCAGCATTGAACACAAGTCGAAATATGTGAAGTTTCATGTTTTGTGGGTTGACAGGTGTTACGAGAGTCTGTAGCTTTGGATGCTGAACAACTAAATAATAAATTAACTACGAGAGAGGGATTAGTGCGAAAATATATTAAAGTTGATGGACATCACTTTGAGCATCTATTAAAATCAATTTTCTGCAAATCAAAAGCAAGTAAGATGCTATAGGTGCTCACGTTAGGTAAGACACCCTGTACAGATGAATATAACAAGTATGTATGTAACGTCTAGTTGTGCAGCGCTGTTGTATACAACCGTAGATCAACTGTTACAGTAGAACAAACGAATAAATAGAATGGACATTGTGCAAGTATCGTTTTTGGGTTATGTACATACGTTACACAGGCACTCCAATCAGAGTAAGGTAAATTCAGCTATTGAGCCGCAAATAATTTTGTATACCGTCGAGCTTTCAATTCACAGTCGATACAGTGTATGGAAATTAATGAATCAGTCCTCACCTCGTACATCAATTCCATTTGTTGCCTGGTGATGTAAGTACCGTCCTCGAATGTCATCGAGCTGTCAGTGGTCATCTTCGAGATATGGCTGAGCCAGACCTCGAAGAAACCGACTTTGATCAGGATCAGCTGATCGTCCTGCGAAAGATCGCAAAATCCTGGCACCCTTTTCGCAAACTCCACCACCCTTTGCACCGACGGCGTGACCCTGGTAGCGAATTGTTGCCAAAGCCAGATCCTCTGGGACTCGACCGTCTCGGCCGTCGAAGAGGCGGCCTCTGGGTCCTCGGGACTTGCCGGCTGTGAAGAAGCACTTGGTTGCTCAACAGTATTACAAACATCAATTCTACTGTCATTGCTTTGTGATGCATCGAAGATAGAGGATGCTAATTATAAGAAGAATATTCATTCCTTTACATTTACAATTACCGTAGTATGTATATGTCTATTTATAACTCCTATAATTGTAAATAAAATGTCTTACAAAAATTTCTACTTTTACTTTAAATATGTATAAAGATATATGCAAAATCAGAGCTTCCTAGGATTGATAGTTTTTTTTTAAATTAATTCCCAAAGATCAGGTTGAGAATGGTCGTCTACACTCGAATACCCTCCTAATATTTCTGATCGAGGTCGTTAATGAATACATTCGTAAAACTCACCGGTATTATCATCGGTTTCCGAACGATGCCCCTCGTCGATTCCTCGGTGAAGCCGCAGTGAGCGTGATGGGCTTGTGACACTTGCAGTATCACGTCGTACACCGCCAACTGTTTCACGTCAGCGTCCGATTGATCCGCCTCCACCACCGCGGCCGGTGGCACGCATGCTATGGTGTTCTGGCTCTGGCTGTTGTTGTTGTTGTTATTGTTCTGGCTTGTGGTGTTGTTGTTATTGTTGTTGTTATTGTTGTTATTGTTGCCGGAACCGGGAGAGGTTAGCTGTTGGACACCAGTGGTCGTTGTCGTCGTGGTGGTGGTGGTCGGTACAGTGTCTTCGGGGCCACGCTCCCTCGAACGTTTCGGCACCCTGCCGTATCGCACGGCTGAAACAACAGTTTCGTTTGATTTCTTAAAATATCGATTAAATTACCACGTTTATTTATAACTTATTGTATATAGTCTACGATTGGATAGATCGTTTGAACATATCCGTTGAATTCTCTATTCATCTATTCTTGCTTCACTCTGTTACTTTTCTCAGTTTAGCTGAAAGCTGCGTTCTCACTATTGCGATCGGCAAAACGAATTACATGGGGATATGTCATAGGCACGTGCCAACAGGCTGCGCGGCATGATGGGGACACAAAGCTGCGTCCCCATTGTGCTGATCGGCAAAACTGATCGGCCTATTTAGTGTTCGGTTTTGCCGATCGGCATAATGGGGACGCAGCGTAAAATAGGCCGATCGGTTTTGAACAAAGTTGTTCAGGAAAGGTTGTTAATTTTATTTGACAAAATTACGTACTAAACTGCGAATTTCATTTTGACATTAAGAAAAATTTATCACTTAAAGTATGATCATATACTGATGAAAAATGACGTTGCGTTAATCGTTATCTGTATAATCTTTTCTTAAATTTTACACATCGAATTTTTATTAAGCATTGGACGCGTAAACTTCCGAAGAGCCGAGATTAACAAGAGGACGGAAAAATCGTGCAACGAATTTTTAATGAAGAACAAAAAAAATGAACGATGTTGAGCGATTAAGGCCACCGGTGCCGGATTAAGGGCAACGTCCATTACCGTACACATCAAGAGCTTTCATCCCCTCGTTAATCATTTTCAGCTCGGAACTTAAGCTCGTCCGAAGTAACGTCGAATAAATTTCCAATCTTCTTGTTGCTTCCGAGACCTGGCAGCCTGTCAAAAGTATTTACGCACGGAATTCTCTAATTACAGACGCTTAACCACCATCGGACCATCGATTTTGTAACGATAAATTGGATCTGTTACGTGATTCTCCTTTCAATGAAACAGATAAACATTTAGAACAAATTCTTATTGTTCCACGACATTGAAGATTAGTACAAATTATGTTATTCTACCTAGCTGTTCTTAGTTAAATTAGATTATTTTAATGCTAGTTGTTCGATCGAAAATTTTTTTTAGCTAATGATAACATGATTCAAGGAAAGTTTTGAAATGATTGTGCCAGATTTTTTGTCAATCCTTTTTCCCCAGAGTTTTCAAGACCACCTTCACTTTTTTTTTATAGGTAAACCTATAATTTTGTTTACGCCCATATTTTAGCCTTTGCCTTAACGGTGATGTAATGCATCCCTTTCGAAGCGGTTCGGAAGGCTGTTGAAGCTTATTACGATTTCGCCGACAATGCCAGCTAGTCGCTTCCTAGGCTGCCTATTATACACCGTCTGCATATTGCACCGTTGGAACTTTGACGTTTAATTATGCACGCAACTTCGCTTCAGTTTACCTTGCCTTTCTCCGGCCCCCCTTGCTGTTCTCGACGAAGCCCGGAAATTCCGAAAAGTAAAAGACACCGCGATTATTAACGCGAACCCGTACTTCCTCCGCCAAGAAACGAGCGAAACATATGACTAATCTTGTAGCTACTACCACAGACGAGGTGATACTACACGACTTTTCTGGGGTTACGTTACTCCATTTCCATTTTAGTGTGACTGTTGAATTCCGGGTGAGGAATGAGTGCAACACTTTATTAAAATCAACTGACAAGGGAAGGCACGGAAGTGTCCTCCTCCGATTTTGACGTAAGTTCGTATGTCTGTTAAGCAGTCAAAAATAGGGGATACGTATTTTTTTTTATTGGTTGAGACGCGACTTTAAGGGATTCGCCACTACTGCCATACGTTAAAGTCTACACATAGTAGAGGTGCATAAAGAGCTCCTAGACAACACTGGTCCAGGTAGGGAATTTTCTTACGATTCGATCAAATACATATTTGAATCCCGCATGTCACTTACTCAAAGTAATCGTCGCTTCGAGTGACTCGTTACTTACAGTCCCTGGACATGCCGACGGCTAGGCACTTCTTAAATCTGCAGTACTGGCAACGGTTCCGATTCAATCTGATCACCAGACACTTGCCGTCCCTCAGGCACCTGTACTCTATTTGCTTCTGAATGCTCCTCCTGAAGAAGCCCTGAAAAAGAAAGAAAAACAATCGGCATGAACACAGCCGTTTCCATTGCGAAATGATTCTTTTTGTTTTTGTAATTTCCTCGCCGCGAGGTTTACCCACCTTCCTTCAGAAGGTAGATGGAACAAGACATCTATGGTTCATAATAAGTTGTTATTAATTTTTTTAGAAGATTACAGAAATTTCTCTTTGACCATTTGACCTGCTATATTTTCATTCTGGAATACTATGCGTTGCGTGGAGCCTCGTCGACTCTGCGCCAGACGAACAAAATCCCTCGTTACGACGGGATCGTGAAATCGTGCGTGTTGCCATTCGCCCGTTCATCGCTTTCGCTCTCCGCAGCAATCACGTAACAGGTGTTTAACGTCCGGTAATTTCAACGCCTGGGACGCGAGCATTAGCAGCCCCGCGCGCGTTGTTACGCCAAGTATCGAGCTAGCGAATAAAATAAGCAGCGTTCGTGTTGAAGAAAAAATATCTTTCATTTTTGTTTATGTAAACTCTACATTATAGGATCTCTTTCCATTGGCGTATCTGGTTTGGGGTTAGGTCGATCGAATAATTCTCGTGGTATACGTAAATAACACGGATTCTCGTGAAATCTGTTTTGAGCCATCGTCACTGTCGTCCGCATCGCCCCCCGACCTCTTCCTTTCATCCTAATAAATTTTCGAAACGATCACCGCCCTTGGTTCAGACCGCCCAGAATGTTCAAGATAACGCTGTCAATATTTCAAGCAGGATGCCGATGAAATCCCGCGCTTGAACGCCCCGGGGGCGATTTTCCGTTGAAGCGCGCCTTGCTTCTCTTCGTTCGCTCAAGGAAATGGGATTTTCCTGGAGGGGTGGGGGTGGGGGGAGAAAAAACGATATCCGAAACGTGGTTATTGGCCGTTGATATTCTTTCGTTGGAACGGGCGTGTTAAGGATGACAAAACACAATTGAATTATGCATCCGCCTCGTTGACCCAGAGACAGCGAGCGTCTGCAAGAAAAACGGTCTTCCCGCCCGGCCAGAAATAATTTACCACCAGACGGCACCAATTTCAAAATTTTTCTTCCGCGATAGACGATGACCGTTTATTTTCGAATGGCGTATTTCGATCTGATACACTGGCTCTTCTTGAATGAAAACGTGTTTTCACTTAGTATGAGGAATTAGATTCTGTTACAGTCATCAGTCTTCCAGAAAGTACATACAGGTATTCCTTGATCTATGTCAATCTACGACAATTCGCACTTACGACCGTGAAAAAAAATATTTTTTTTGGATGACGATTAAAATAGACATTTTTAATTTAAATTTAATACATAAAGTATGTGATAAATACATACGTATATATGAAGATATGTATGTATTGTAATTGGAAATAAATGTTATTTGTTTTAATACTTGTGTAGAATAATGTCTCGATGAGTGCGACGTACTCGGGTATACAAGTTTGAAGATTAACTGAAAAAAATGTATTCCTACCAAACTACCAAAAAAAATGTTATTCTACATTTTCGACCTATTTTTGCGTTTAGAATCGCATATTTAAAAAGTTCCCTACGTTTTCAGTAATTTCTACAATCCTATTTCATTGGTTGCGAAAACAAAATTGTTCATAATTAACATGGGATTTTTGAATCGGTGGACAAAGTAGGTCCGCGCAATGCATCACGGGAGCGTATCTTGGTTCCGTATTTTCCGGTAATACCCAACGTTTTATTTACCGAACGGTTTACATAAAGATCGCGATAAACGGATCGGTTCGCATAAATCAGCTGGGATACTCGGGTTTTAGAAACGCGTGGCGCCGGTAACGGCTATACAGCGACTATCTTGGGCGCTTTCAAAAGCTCGTTTTTTTCTTATCCGTTCCTCCCCGCAAACGACATTTTTACGAGCCCTAAATCCAGGTTCTGACGGGGAGAATTAATCGTCGATCGCGTGGGTATTCGGCTATCCTTGAGAGCTAGATCGATGTCGCTATCCAGAAACGTTTTGCATTCTGCCAGTTGTCGGTGACCGTATCGCGAAATTCTACTCGTAACGATATAAAATGTTCTTTAGTAATTGTATGAATTGTATAGGGTACAGTAAAAGCGTTAATTCAGTAAGTGGATAGACCATTATTATATTTGGTTCATACTTCTGCTAAAATTGTACGTAAATGCACACATTGACTACATAGTAAGTGTATTACATTTACCAAACTTCATGCTTTTACTGTGACGTATATACATTAAATCATAGGATTTAAGTTAATTGTTGAGTTTTAGAATCGTATTAGTTTTTAATGATTTTTTACACTTAAGAATCTATAGGATTTCAAGATCTTCAAGGCTGCCAAGACTTTTTAGGATATCTGGGTTTAGAATTAAAATTTTGCGAGGCAGAGTTAATTGTAACCGGGCGGGCACGCGGAACGTAATATATCGGGAGTACACGCAGCGCGCACGTTACCTCGAAATTAACCGAGAGAGGGTTGGTCGAGGGGTGAAGGGGTGGAAGGGATGGGTGGTTGCGTACCACCGTGGCTCAGGGGTTGACCTCGTTGCCGCGGCCAACGCGGGACGGCTCGTTTAATAACCGACGTATTATGATTAATGCTCCGCGTACAAACAAGCGAGAAACTTTTGTCCACCGCGGCGTCGTGTCCTGTGAAATACAATAAAAAACAAAACTTTCATCGGATCCAACGAGTTTTCTATTTTATTCTGAACCCAATACGATACTTAAGAGGCAAAATAAATTTTTATTTATTTATTACTCCTGTCTTTATAAATTACTTTAGAAATTTTTATATTGTTTATTATTATAATATTAGGATAGTTTCTTTTTGTTACAAGCCCTTTCATTTCCTGAGAAATGAACAATTCAGATGAACAACCCAGGTCAATTCGACAACTCGTGACACAGAAATGCTACACAGACTGGAAAAAAGCTATGTTTCATGAAAGTAGTTGCTTAAAAGGATCGTTAAAAATGCTCAGTTCGATGCCATGCCTCCTCGACACATCGTGAAGCTCACGCGAAGCCGAGGGTTTCATCGTGAAATTTTCGCGATTCGAGAATTGTTCGACGGTTTTTCGCCAATCAATTCACTATGCATCGTGACCCCGAATCGCGGAATTGAGCGATCTCGGCCGGAGGCCCGATCAGGAGCGTCAACGTTCCGTAAATTAGGTCGCGGATAAAAAGTGCCGAACAGCTTCGGGCGACAAATCGGGAGTGACGAAAATAAGATTTTTAACAGGGTTGACCTCTCCGTTCATTATTGGTCCCGGAGCAAAATGGCACAGAACGATGTTTAAGCTTTCAAATTGTAGTATAACAAGGTCCATTAAAGACAGGTGTCTATAGAGTCTCTGCCTGGTCTGATTTGTCCGATGTAGCCTCTAATGGGTTTGACAGGTTTATTTTGGCACTGAACTGCCTGATATGGTCCGTTTCAAGTTTAACGGCTTCCCTGTCGTATGGATTGAGTTTGATTGTTTCGAAATTGTTTGCTCGAAGTTTAATGAATTTGGTACCCTGTATGTCGACTCTGACGTATCTACTGTGTATCTATTAAGTCTGTACGAGTCTATTGGAGTTCGACGTGACCAGTATCGCACTACATTGTGTTGATATCTGCTGCCGAGTTTATTTATTACTTCATTACACAGAATTATATATACGATACTCTACAACTCTGCAGCATACATATGTATATGTACGGTACGTTACGTGTAGGTTTTATAAATTTAATCCCTGGATCACTAAACTATCACAAAAATTACGACCTCGAATTCATGGTTCATCGCGATTGTCAATATCTGTTCAGACTATACTATCTTAATTATTCATTATTTTTAAGTCTATCATAAATAATTGTAACGTTGGCTTCTACCCCAGTAAAAATAATATTGTTCCAAAGTATTATATGTTTTCTTTCAGTCGTAAATTTTACGAATGATTAATAATAATGTGAGTTACAAGATACTTTAGTTATTTACAGTTAAAAGAGCAACAAATTCCTCAGTAGTCTCTCGATACAGATTCACAGTACAATCACACTTGAACCTGACTTGAAATACAATCAAACTCGACGATCTTCGATCGAACAAGGGATCCGTGACGTCCGCGAATCTATTTTCACTTCGGCACGAAAGTTATCTCAGGCACCGTACATTATGAAAACGAATGAATAAAGCTCACTGTTCTCGAATCACCAGAATAAACCTCCCGAAATTTTTATTATCTCACCGAAATAAAGTCTTGAAACTGTGCCATTTAAGACAGTCCTACTTTCTTCCGCAATTAACGTAGTTATCTTTCCTTTACTGTCGCACAATAGGGTGGAGGTACCTAATATCGTCTAGCAAAAGTTAAATTGTTATTGATTAGTAATTGATATTTTTATATGTGATTTGTTTCAAAATAAAGAGAAATAATTCACGTTTCATGCAGTATAAGTTAGATCTGTTGAAACCTCCAAATTTTTAATTGGGACTAACAAAACATAAGACATTCAAAAATCGGAATCGGAAAAACGTGTGAATCGAAATATGAGTGTATTTCCACAGAAACAACAGTGTGTACGGTGGTTAAGAGACGCGTATTCTCGTTCCGGAGCGAACGGTATCGGTTTATTGGTCTATTACATACTGACGAGAATGGGGGAGAGGGGGGGGGGAGGGGGATTATTAATTAATGAAAGCCATACGCGACAATGCAGGGAGGACGACGCGTATCCGCCACGGCCGATATCCTAGGACAAGAGGCTACAACGTGGCCAGTCGTACCACCACCCCTGACAGTCAATAATACCACCATTCGATACCCGCGGCCCGACCTCGGCTCGTCGCGAAAATCGATACCCGACGTCGCGCTACTGTACTCGAGGGAAACAGGATGTCACATGACGAACATTTATCTCAGGTTTTTCTTTAAATCAGTTTTCTGTCTAGGGCGAGGGTTTAAGGGTACGTTCTCATGTGTACGATGTGAAAAACGGCCTTTTCAAGAATTTTTGTAAAAGGAAACTATAACGTATAAAGTAAACAATCATGTCTGGAGTTTATTAATATACAGGGTGTCCTGCCTAATCCAGACCTGCGCAAATTTTATTTGAAATGAAATGTGCCCAGGTCTGATATCAATTAATACCGCGCTGGAGAATTTCGACGGACGAGGCGTGCAGTGGCTCTGCCCCGTAATGAATCAGACTTGAAATGGACAGCGCAGCACGGCCGCGCGTGGCCAGTAGAAAGGCCTACGTTTAATCAGACGAGAGAAGACCAACGTTTGCGCCGTCCCACAATGTTTCGATCAATGGAAAAAACAACAAATTGTTGTGATTTTTTCATGTAAAATGCTTATTAACTTTAGAGAAACTTTCTAAAAAAAGTATTATAAACTTTAAATTAACGTCAAATTCAATTGCTCATATTTCCCGATATTTCAAGGTCATCCTCGTTTTTTTAAATTTAATAATGATTAGTAGTGATGATTACTAACATGTAAAATATGTTCACTTTCAGATAAACGTCGGAGGAGTTATTCTTCAAGAAGCATGTCTTTCGCGGATCGTCCGAAGCCAGATCATTTCTGACTCACATCGATGGGTTACTAACACAAAGTCACGATGGCTCGAGCTCAAGGCCCTTGCTGTAGAAGTTTGGTCGACTAGAAGAAAGGACAGCGAGTGAAAAAGAAAATAGAGTGAGCAGAAGACGTCTTTCGCTGTGTCCGATTAATTAATCGATACCACTGATCCGCTGGCAGCGTTACATTGCGACGGTTGGCAATTTAATCTTCAGCTCGGTTTAACCGACGAGTCACAATAATATTTTATTATCAGGAACGTTTCGCTCGCACCACTGACTCGCGGTTTCCAGTCAGCGTAGTGGTTGGTTTAATCGTAATAACGCGCTCTTTAATATTAATTGCACACGACCTGCGGTCCTCGTTCTGTGGAAAACGCTCACGCTATAAATACACTGTATTAAATACAGGCCGTTTGTCGAGATTAAACGCGTTGCATGCGACACAGTGTATGCATGTATGTATTACGTGTTGCGTTCCGCCGCGGCGAAACACGATTTTTATAGATCGACGATACCGGAGGGCGCAGTAGCGACGGCCTTCGTATGGTCAGACGCGTGCAGTCTTATTCCACTTGTGTAACGAGGCGAAAGCGGGCGAACGGCTGTCACCGTTTTTCTAAGTGGGCTGGCTCCGAGTTGCTCACGCGAATTTAGATTTCTGTACGGTAAATCGACCAGCCTCGAATGTCTGTTACATTAAATTACATAATATAGAATATAACATAAAGTTGCATAATAAATTAACACGTTCGTTTAAAAATTTATTCATGCACTCTTGTAAAAAAAAAAAAGTTGGTAGAACAATCACACAAAGGGTGTGTACGATTTAACAAGAACATTTTGTTATATTTTTCCAGGCAAAGTACCGATCAGTTATTGAATAAATGTTTTATTGCGATAAAAAAAGCGGTGCGCGTTTGGTTTTTGTTGATTTTAACAATTAAAACGATGGGGTAACGAAGCTGGCTCGAATATGGTAGCCGGTTTTGTAATCGATGAAATCGAATCAAGAATTTGCCTCGCGATCCCGCCTCTGCTGAATGCTCATTTTTTCCCCCGAATTTGTTTGTCGAGCACGTTTAACGGGGAGCGTGCTCGAATTTCCGCCCAACGAAAATTCACTGACCCGCTCTCACTCTCTCGCTTACCCTCTGGTCTTTTAACTATGCAAGCCTGCATTTTGGGCCGCGATAGCTATGGCGGAAATGCTGGCCTATGCATTCTTTAGTACGGCGAACTGTAGAAAAGCTTTGAAATTTATTGAAAAGGGACGTTTTCGTGTGTTCGACGTGAATTTGCAGTGTGTACAGCGTATCCACGAATTCGTGCAATAAATGTGTATGTACATTGTATTATTCTTTTTTCGTAAATTAATAGAAAAGTAAGCAATGATTCGATGAAATATTTCTTGTGAATGATTATATTGAAACATTTGTATTAATAAATAGAATTCTGGGGGATTACTGAATGGATCATTTGATCTCATTGCAATAAATATCAGCGATGGTGTAGGTCCTCCTTTCGCAAATACGATGACCCCATGCGACTAATTAATATTTAATAACAATTCCTTCATTTCGGAGATACTTGACCGCGAAGTTTCACTTGTGCCATGAAAGATCCACGGGGTCACGGAGGGTTAAGGCAGGAGACGTACAATTGTTATCGTAAAAAGTCTATTAACATTATTCAACAACTTCTCCAATTCCGTTATTTCTGCAGCTTCCCTAGCTGGCCGCCAATTTTCCAAGGTGAACAAAAACAGAATCGTCTCGTTCCTCTCGTGCTCGCCTCGTGTAAAACATCGTGAATCCACGGGAATGGAAAGACAAGGGGGGAGGGGCACGAGAAGCAACACGCGCGCATTCATTTTGCCAGGGACGGGAAATTAATTTCGCCATATCGGAGAGGAACGAGCCCGAGCGCGTGTTGCACTCGCGCGATCACGCTAGTCCAGCCGCCTAAGGATGTGTCTTGGTGGGAGCGCGAGAATGTACCAATTCACCGTTAACTCTGGCCTTAGGGCTTCCGTGTTTCAATCCCAGCCGTTCCAGCACCGGCGGATGTGCATCTCGCGGCTGGATTAAGCCGCGTGCACAACGACAAACAGGCTGATCGCGAGAGCACTGTTTCCATGGTGACGTGACAGACGGTCTGTTCAATAAAGAGCGAAAGAAAATTGAATGAAACGGCGATTTAATGGTAGAAGATGGTCATCTTGTTGCAACATTTTTCAATTAGTTTGCAAAGGAAAATTCTTACACTGGATTTACGGTAGCTCATTCATTTAGGACGCTTTATACTTTTTATCAGTTTTATCAATTTTTATCAATTTTTTTTATTGTCATGTCACTCAAATGTGGGCGACATGTACATTGTTCTCACGCAAAAAAATTAGTTGCAGAAACCAAAAGAAGCCTTGACGATAGGAAAAAAAAAGAATGAGATAGGCTTGGTGATAGCAGAAAGAGAAAAGAAAAAGTATGAGATATAACAGGAAGAGAAAAGGAAGAAATAGGAACTTGACGATTACGAGGAACTTCGAAGAAATGGTAGAAAAGGTACCTACACACACACACAAACTGATCGAGAAGTAGTCGAAGCCTCTAATGCACGGGCCACCAATGGGAAGGAAGAGAAAAAATTGTATTTATAACAGCGGCGCAACTTTCTAGGAGGGGGCGACGCGTCGAGGGGGATCTTGTTAGGGGGAACATTTCGAGATAAAGAAAAGTTTACACGGTATATAATTACGTTTCCCGGCGTAGAAAGTTCCGTTCAGGTATCTCTCTTTCTTTCTCTCTTTCTATCATTCGTGCCGCGACTCGTAGAGACGCGTATCCGCTCACGATTTCATGGTGTTTGTATAATCAGTTTTCCAATTCCGTGACTTGAGGCGAACTGTCGGGAATAACGAGCAATGTACACAAAGATGAAGATCAGAAGTTAATTCCGATGTGTCTTAAACGATCAACCGTTTCGTCATTTCAGTCTTCGATCTCACAGCTACGACGGTAGAAAAGTTATTTCTATCGTTCCTTTTATGAATAGAAAGTTGCTGAACTTGTCCAGTGGAGAATGTACTTCTGTATGTTCTGTTAAACTTTCAATTAAATTTATAATTATTAAAAATTTTCAGAAGCCATCTTAAAGAGGTTCTGCCACTGTGAAGTCCTGAAAAATGATGTATTAAGTGTTTTCATTATTTATTAAAGTCTATTAATAAATAGACAATACTTCATTTATGTTGAACATTTTGTTCACCGAAAAAAAATTCCTATGATATGACAATTTTTCAGGGCTGCACAATGACGAGACCCCTGAACACGTGGACAGCCACAGTGAAAAAAACCGTACGTAGTCAGACACGGATTATTTCGTTTTTTAAGTCATAAATAATGCATAATCGGAGTTAGTTAGAGACAGTTTAAGTATTTTGTTTGTTCTTTTTTAATATCTACTTTGAACAGTATATTTTGTTTCGTTCTTTAATTATCTCTAACCAACTCAGATCAGTATAATGCTTTGAACAGTATTTTTTTAAAGATACTACGTTACGAAAGTTCAGATTTCTGGATCAGTTACAGTAGGTTTTTCAATTTTTCTTTCTTAATAACTTTTTAATAATCAATGATTGACTGTTTAAGCTTTTTGGAGGTTACTCGTGTGGGTGATTTTGATAACAGATGTCAAAGTCAGGGTCATCGGAAGTGGGTGCTTTTCGGAAGTTTATCCTAAACTACATACATAATACAATAATTGGAAAGTTATTTCTAGTTAATGTTTTTGTTCGCTAGGAAAATAAATATTATTTATCGTTCGTGTCACTCTCGTCGATCTGTGTCGGATCTCGCGTAAACGGAAGCGAATACATCGATTGTTCTACTCACTTTGCAACCCTCGCAGCTGGTTACGCCGTAATGATAACCGCTCGCCTTGTCACCGCAAACTCTACAGGCCACGAAACTCTTCGCGGGCGTCGAACTGTTCGAATCGGCGGCCGCGTAGTGTTGTTCTGGAAAACAAAACAGGCAGGTTACGTTGTGTAACGTGAATCGTCCCATTCGTAGAACTAGGATAAAACCGTTCCGGCAAAAACTACCACCTTCTGCTTCCTTGTGATAGCAAGAAATCCGTACGGAGGGAAATTTCGAACAATGGGATCATAAAATTACAACAAAGCATCTTCGTCCTCGTGTCTGTTTCCATCGAATCGGCATTGTTTTAGAACTCACGAATAATTATGATTCGTTAAACAAGCAAATTTCGAGTGTACGGTTATTTCGTAAATAACATGGATTTCTTAAACACTTCACAGAAATCGAATTTTTTACGTGATCAATAATTTCTTTTTATTTATAAGCTAGAACACAACACCAACATTTTTCAATCAGCTTCGAACGTGACTGAACAACCCCTGCACAGCCATTTTCTTGCAGGCGATACCACCCAACAGACAAATCCTCCAGTTTAATCACTTCGAAATCCCTCTGTATACCGTACCACCGTGAACACCATCCCCACAAACAATCCCTCTAATCGTCAATCTTTTCAATTTCAGGTCTTCGATCCACCGTCAATCATCCCAATCCACTCCCTTCCTACAAAAAAACACGAGAACTCGACGGTCCTCGTAAAATAGGCTTTCCTTTTAACATCCCACGGCCACGCGATCTCAAGCGTAGATCACGGTTCAACGAAGTGTCTTCCTTCCTCCTAACAACTAAAAAACACGGCGTGTCGTGCGTGGTGAGGTAACGGCACCAACGATGGAAACGGATCTTCTACATAAATGGCGGAGCGGGGAAGAAAAGCTGGAAGAAAAAGCAGCTGGAGACGTGGCTAAATAGAGTGGAGGGTCCAACAAAAAACAAAGGACAGATAGAGAGAGAACAAGAGAGGCATAAAGGAATAGAAACCGAGAGACATAGAGAAATATAAGAAGATTAAGAGGGAAGCAAAGGTCGAGAGTAGTAGAAGGGGAGGACAAGTGGGAAATAGAGATCGAGAGAAACACAGAGAAAGAGAGAGGGATAGAAAGATATCATGGGGACTCGAAGGATCGCGAAAAGCGGCGAACAGGATGAAGAAACGTGGCCGTGGTTCCCTGGGTAGCGACGGGAACACGTTCGTCTGTGGGTTCTTTCGTTCGTCCAGCGACCCGTTGCATCCATAATGCAACGACGTACGGGGGGCGGAAGGGCAGACGCAGCAGGGTGGGGGAGAGGGCAAACGAGAAAGGGAATAGGCTGGTTAGGCCGCAGCGCACGGTGGTACGTGTAACGGAAAGCCCGCGTCACCGTTACAGAAGTACGGCCCGGGGGGAGGATGATCCTCGAGAGGGGAGAGCGCAAGGGCAAGAGTAGCATCCATGTGGCTGGCAGGAACGGGAGAGGACGTAGCGAAAAAGGAAGACGAAAAACGGCGAAACGGGGCCGGCCGCAAAGGGAGAGTCGAGGGAACCGTATAGGTGTGTAGTCTGCAACATTATATGTGTACAGGGTGTTCCAAAATAGCTTCGACTCCCGGACATTAGGAGTCCCTGGGATGATTTGAAATAACCATACAAATATTGATTAAAAATTTATTCCTCTTGATTATACTGAATTTCAGACTGTTGAGTACTCTATGCAACTATGGGTGCATATGTAGATCCACAGTCTAGTTATTAGATGCTCAGGTTTTTTGTATTATGTAGATTAATGTAGGGAATACTGAACGAAAGAATGTGATATTCTATGGAAAAGATTATATAATATTCTATAGAAAAAGAGTTTTGTGTGAACTAAAGGAGATCTTAAAGCTGTTCTTCGTGCTCTTTATACTGGAAGCAGGGATTTAATGATCAATAAGGCCTTGAGGGTCTTCTGGGAATCCTTTTTGAACACGAAGATCCTCATTATGCATACGCATCACCTTACGTACATATACGTTAACAGACAGAATAAGTAACCAGTATCTCTTCTCTAGATGAATTTCTATTTCAATCCGTCAGTGGACTACACGTCAGGACAACTTAAATGTCGTTACAGGAAAGTAAAGTTATCAGAAGAATAAGAAATGTAACTAGAATCTGTAATTAATATCTAGCTATAACAGGAATTACCTGTCAAGTTATTACAGGAAAGATTGCAAAGGATGTACATTTCGAGGCGACCAGTACATTTTGTCCTTTTATTGTTCCACTAGGTTCAACGAAATCTCCAACAGCCGTTCTCCACCTGCTTCGTGATCGAGATCCTCAGCGAAACAGGCTGAATAATTACTGGCTCGCTGATAAACGATTCAACAATGCGTGTATACGGCGTTCGCACGACGATACATTGTAATTTATTGCGTCCACGGACGGTCTGTAATTTCAAGGGACGAAGGCGGAAGCGCCGCCGCCGCCACCACGGCGTAATGGCGTGCACGACGTGCGCGGCGAATTTTTTCGGCGCATCTCCATGGGAATTCGTTAAGGCTGGTACCGTATTAACGACGCCTTGAACGATCTCGCGCGAATAAATTTGCTCGTGTTTCACAAGCTTCCTTTTGGCCTGGGATCGCCTCGTTTTCGTTTTTCATGTTTCAGAATGATATGCATTTTCATTTATATTTGTTGGAAATGTTTATTTGCGTTCATATTTGTGTTTAACTAAATAAAACAGACGTGTTACAATTTACCACGGGCTGGGGCACATTGTAACAAAAGTTCAGATTCCTTTAAGATGAACTTAGATGTCTAAGTATCAAAGATTTTTTCACATATTTACACTGAATGAGTTGACGAAATATATGAACAGTAAGTCACGCAAACTATTTCCTGATTGAAGAAAACACTCGCAAGAATTAATTGTGAAAACTTTTTTTTATAAGTTATCTGTTTCTCGCGGTGTTTTTACTTTTCTTTCTTCACTGTTGAAGCCACGAACGATGGAAATCGAGCGCGTCGGTCCCCGTGTGTTTTCGCTAGGCCCCGCTTTCACGCGCTCGTCTGCACAACGGACTGGCCCCTTCCTCTTCCACTAGGGGGTCCCCGTAAATCTTTTACAAGTCCAACGTAGGTACGTATATTCCGCCCCGTAATCTGTAGGCCACGCTTAACATTTCACTTACTACGAACTCCGTTCCGTGGCGGCTCGGTTTCTATTTCTGCTTGTAAATTCCGCTCACCCCCTCCCTTCCCCCCGAAACTTTCTCCTCGTGGGACCACTTCGAATTGATGGACACGGTGTACGTGTGAGCGCGGCCGAGACCGACACGCCGCGAGGATATTTCATTCCGTAGCCGCGTAGAAGAGAATCTCGCGGGATAAGATAACGTGAGCGAGAAGTAGAGAGTTTGCTGGAGTGGGAACTTTGCTGAAGATATTGCTGAATGTCTCTGGATGTCCTGGAAGATACCGTGGATTTGGAAAGTTCGTCGTGAATTCCGCGATACTAGACGGTTCTGATAATTGCGTTGACGATGGGGGTGATCTGGTTGGGTATATTCCGACAGCTGGCGATTTTCTGTTTTTATAATAGGGTAATTTTATAATAGCTGTTTTTATAATAGGGTATAAAATAATTGCTTATTCTTATTGTAATTTTAAAAAAATTCCTCATTTCGCATTTTTTCACTCTATTCAACCCTCCGAAATAAAGACGATAATTATAATAACGCTAATGATTATTCGAACAGTCGGAAGTCCACGAAGGACACAGCGTTCCGAAAGATCCAACAGAATACCCCACAACGACCCACTTCCGGGACAGAAACCGGAGATCAAGGACGCGAGACAAGAGGAATGACAAGCGGAACAGAGAGCCACCAGGTTGCCTCGACCCCTTCCAAGCGAGCTTTCGAACTCAGGCCGCTGCAAAGCGCTCTTGAATATATGCAAGCACTCTCGCGAAATTTATGTATCATATTCCCCGAGCGAAGGGAAACACCTCCGCGCTGTTTGCCGAGAGAGCGTACGGCGCCGTGGAAAATAATATTTCGCCTGGAACGATCGACGACGTGAATCGCCTGGATCCCATCCCCCCCTCTCGATAACGTGACGCGTACGGGCGAGACGAGTTCCTTATTTCCACTTTAGAAGAAAATGGGGCAAGTGGCCCTTTGCTCGCACTTTCCTCGTATTCCTTAACAAATTGCTCCGTCCCCTGGCATTTTATTTGGTTAGTCGGGGGTCGATTTCGAATCAAACTTTCAAGTAGACCGAGTACTTTAGATTTTCATTCTTGGACTGATGGACCAAAAGCGAGAGCACTTCAAAAATTTCGGAAAATTACCAAAAAACCTGTTATCCTACAGAAAGATCCGCAATCCCTTGTTCACCCCTGTGCTCAAGCCAACGGGACCGTAACAAAATGAAATTTCGTCGGCAGCCAAGGATCACGTAGACGAGTAAACGGTGCCGTTTTATTCCCCCGGACCGAGCACCCACGTGCAATGGTGCAGGCCTTCGACGGGACTCATTCAGCGCAGCGTTTCCCGACGCTTAAGGAAATTTTACTGCCGGCCGCGACGAGTTTCGAACACGATTGGACGAGGGGAAATAAAAACCTAAGCGAATCCACGGGGCGGTTCAGACATCTCGTCAGAATAGTGTCGAATCCAGGTGCCTTTTTTTGGGAGGGGGAGCGGGGGCAAAAGTACACCTCATTCTATTGTTACATAATATTGATAAAACACGAACACAAGTTTATTTTTTGTAATACTTTTAGGTCCGGAATCAATCTTCTATTTTTCCATAGATACAGTATACTTTTCTACGCGAATATTTTTTTACACGCATTCTTCCGGTACGTATCGACCGTGCAAAAACAGAATTGGGTGTACATAAGTACATTTTTTGAACCATTTATTAATTTTTTATTACACTTGGAGGGGGGTTGCCCCTATCGCCCCCCTCTGGATCCGCTACTGTGGATGCTGCCCACCCAACAGCCCTTTCTCACGGGCCCCGTAATGCCATCTCGCGGCGTAACAAATTTAATCGACACGGCTTTCTCGCCGGTTCACGCTCGAAACACGATCGATCCA